TCTGGTGCCCATCCAGGAGCTGGGCCAGGCTGCAGCAGCACAGGACTGCACCTGCCTGCCCCCAGCCCAGCCCAGCCCTGCCCTGGTTTATTGTCCTCCTCGCAGGCATCAAGTGGGTGCATGCCCTGCATAACGTGACTGGCATCTCTATTTTCAGTACAGCAGGGCTGCAGTCGCCTCTCTGGGGAGAAGGTGCAGTTCCTCCCTCTGCTGGGGGCTTCTCTGCATGATGTTGGTGCTGCACAACATTGGGAGGGGGGCAGGGTGCAGCCCCTGGGGCTGCAGAGGGATGTGGTCCCATCTGGGGCTGGCGTTCAAGGGATACAGGTGTCAAACGCTGGCCTACTGACAGCAAAGTGGCCTCAGGCAGGGGGTGAACATCACCTCCAGGAGCTGCTCAGCTGGTGGGATGGGTGCAACTGTCATGGCACAGGTGCTGTGCCCAGAAAAGGTGGGCTGGTGAGGCTTGGGTCAATGAGAAAGCCATGCCCTGGGCTCCAGAACAATCAGGTCTGTGTTACTGCAGCTGAATCATTCGCCCAGTCTGAGCTTGTTGGAGCCTGGAGTGAAAAATCAGGGAGCCAAAAAAACCTGTCTCCAGGGAGACAAGGAGTCCCCGAGCAGCAGCAGGGCTGTGCAGGATCAGCACTGGCAGTGGGAGGCGCTGAGGAAAAGGACTCTGCTCCACTTGTGCCAGCAAGCAGAAGACACTTTGCTCCACAGGGCGAGTGTGGCCTGGCCTTTGAGCCTTGTGAAGGAGCCAGGGGCTCTGCTGGAGCATCCACAGCATACAGTCCCCTTGCTTTTGCTTTGTGAGTGAGCGTGGGGAGCTGGGCCCTGCTCAGGGTGCTGGGAGGGAGCAGTGCTGGGTGCTGCTGGGTGCCTGCTGTACTCACTGGGACGATGCCTTCAGCATGTAGCTGGCCTCCCGGTCATCTGCGTTCTCCAGCAGCCTCAAGATGAAGACGTTGGCCAAACTCTGCCCCTGGTCTTCTAACTCCTCTACCCGAAGAAGCCCCCGGGGAGCCGAGTCAAACACTTGGTACTTGTCCCTGGGAGAGGTTAGAGAGGAGATTAGGACAGGCTGCAGTCGCCCCAGGAGAAGCTGGGTTCAGCCACCCAGGACTGCAGGAGGAAGAAAACTGTCCTGAGCGGGTGGCCACAAAACCCCACCACAAAGCAAGAACCCCTCTCCTTGCTCTGCCTTCAGCATCCCACGTGGCCTAGAACAAGCTGCTCGCTTGGTCTGAGCTCCCCATGCACAAAACACAGACGGAGCTCCCTCCAAGGGGACTGTGAGGCTCGATTCATTCCTGTTTGTGAACTGCCTCTGTGTTTTCTGGACACAAGCTGCTGCAGAAGCCAATATTTCCAGGTGTGCAGACACCCTGGCGACACGTTTATGAGCAGCCTTGGCCTGGCGAGATGCTCCCTACTGGTGGGTCCAGCTGAAGCCACAAAGAAGGTGCTGTTCTCCAGGACCTGTCTGCTTCTGCTGCTGGGCTTCACTCGTGTCTAGTTGCAGAAGACCCAGATCTAAGCGTGGTGACATTCTCCTCCTCCTGAGGCAGGTTACACCATGTCAAATATAACTGTAGCCTCAGGCCTGAATTTATACCCCTCCCTGCTGCTCTAGCCTTCCTTAGAACTTTGACTGACTAAACCTGAGCTGTTCTTCAGCAGCGATGAGTCAAAAATCACTTCTTGACAAGAAGACATGCCTCCTGGGTCAGCCCACGGCTGATGGAGCTCACTGCTGCTCTGTAGAAACTGGTGGATACATGCATGCTTACCCTGCTGGCAGACCTGGCCTGGAATCTGCTCAAGTTCTATTTGGCATATATTTTCAGCTGGAGAGAGCTGTGCCACCTATGAAGAGTCAGCTCAAAGGCTGGAGGGGAGAGCACAGGTCAGGCCGGGGTGCCCTCCCCGTGCCTAGGGGACAGGACTGGGGCACAGCATCACAGCTTGGATAAACATAGGGGGGCAAAGAGGACTAATGAGGTGCCCCACGTGCTACCTGAACTTTGTCCTCACCCCGGAATTTGCCGGCAAATGACCAGCAGATCGTTGAAAAGGAACAAGTAGATCTCTCTGAAGAGCTTCTTGGTGCGGAGCGTCCGTGAGGTCTTCGGGCCGTTCATCTGCTGCAGCTCCCCCTGCTTCAGCAGCCAGCGGGAGTGGGAGATGATGGGCACGGACTGGGAGGGGGAGGGAAGGAGAGCAGAGATCAGGAGAGCAGCAAAAACCCCTGGGCTTAGGAGGTGAAGGTGCTGAAAGCCACAGGAGGTGCTGAAGAGGCCAAGGCAGCCTTGTAGCTACCCCAGCCTCGTGCTGGCCCGTGGCCTAGCCCTGACACACTGCTCAAGTGCTCTGGAAGAATCAAGTTCTTGGGCACACAGTGTGGCTTTGCAAACACGTGGGCTCAAACTCTTTTGCTTTGCTTCCTCAGGCACGTAAGAAGGTTGCTGGGAAGCTAAATGTGCTCCTTAAAGTTTGTGAAGCAGACAGATCAGGGAAGCTTCTTTGTAGCAGTCAAGAAAAGAATTGGAAACTCTGTACTCAGCATTGGGATTCTATGGCAGATATTAAATGAGATCTGGAAGAAAAGAATTGGCAACTCTGTACTCAGCCCTGGGATTTTGTGGCAGACATTAAATGAGATCTGGAAGAAAAGAATTGGCAACTCTGTACTCAGCACTGGGATTTTGTGGCAGATATTAAATGAGATCTAGTTGGTTACCCCTAAATATTGACTCGGTCATTCCCTGAGTGGAGCCAAAATGGATCATCAGCAGGTAATTAGAGACTGCAGCTAACACACAAAAGCAGCTATGAATGAATATGGTAGGACAGGCTTCACTTGGGGATTTTCCAGCTTTAAATTGTTTTGGATTTTTACAGACACAACGTGCTGGCCTCAGTGCTGCCCCAGCCTCTGCAGCACGTGTGTGTGGACACCTCAGGCATGGATGCAGTGCCTCCAGCAGCAGCATCTCCTCCAAAGGCCTTGGCAAGGGACAACTTGGGCCAGGCCACCACTGGACACTCAGTAAAAGGAGTGTAGGTAGGTTACTGCTGCCATGGACGTGCACACAACACCTGGATGCTGTTGGTTCAGTCTCTGCACAGTGTTAGCAGCCTGTGCTTGTACCTTGATCTTGAATTCCAGCTTCTTCTGGATGCTGATCATCTGCTCTGTTCGGCTCATCTTCCTGACACCTTCATTACATGCTTTCACCACCTGGGAAAAAGAGAGCAGGAAGGTTTTCCTCCAGTGGCCTGAAGCAGGGAAGTGATGATGGACAGCAGAGAAAGGCTTGACTGTGACAGAGCAAGGGCCCTGCTGGAACAGGAATTGTCCAAACCAGGCTCTTCTATCAGCACTGTATCCACATGAAAAAGAGAAAGGGGAACAAAACCAAAAATACACAACCCAAACCAAACCCCAAACACCCAGAAGATGTTACAGCTGGAAGCTGACTATCAGTGGGTGTTAGCTGCCCTTGGTTACTGAGCCAGACAGTACTAAGCCATGCTCCTGGTGCACAGCAAAGGGAACAGCTCCTTTTCCAGATCCTGGCACACCATGCATCTCATTCT